CACTGTTGCTCAAATTCACTAACCTGCAGGTACACTGTATAAATCCAACCAACCAGTACACTGATTGGGCCTCAGTTCTGCAACTAATGGGTCAAGGAATAATTATCTTTTTATTCAAGTGTTAACAGATTTTGAGTATTTGTCATGCTCTTCTTCTTCTAATTAAAAGCACCACGTAATAATATATGGTGAAAAGTTAAAAATGAATATCAAGTATTCTTATGTAACTAGATGTTTATTTTCATTTCAAAAGCAAGGTTTCCCTAGTGCCTGGCCTACTGCTCTACGGTTGACCTTCTTTTTGCTTCTTTTCTCTTTCTTGCTCAAGGTCTAGAACATTCTATCTTTCAGGCTACCAATGCAAACACTGAGAACTTGTGATATGATGAGAAATTTGTCTCCTGATTTTTCTAAATCCCTCCTTATCTAGACTGGCCTATGGCCTTTTTTCAGAGCCAGAGACGCCCCTTCATCTTTCACAAACAAAAGAGTAGCTTTTCCCTGTGAAGAATGTTGTCATTCTTCTAAAATGCTGAAGCGGTCACCGGGAAATTTCATTTTATAACTGATAATTTGTCTTCCTCTTTCATGCTGCTTTTTAAATTTCCCCATGTTTTCCTTATTATGTTTTGTAGATTTCTGTATAATATTTCCTTCATATAGCCTACTTTACTTAACTATCCATGCTTCTAGATATTTGCATGTTTTGGTTTGTTTTCATCTGACTACAAATGCAGAGATTAGTAACTTTGCATGCACTTCTGATTATTTCTCTAGGATAGATTCCTAAAAGTGAAATTATTTGACCTGTAATAATGTAGTAAATATTCACTGCCGTCCCACAGGAGATACGTTTACATCCCCGTACCCCTCCTCTCCCACCATTGATGTTGGCCATGCCAAGTGACCTGCTTTGGCCACTGAAACTTAACACATTTGACACAATCAAAAAACTTAAATATGCATCTGCATTTGCCTACTGCCCTTTGATAAACAGCCATGAAGACAGCCACTGACCTTTAGACTAGGCCCTGGGGAAAAATGGAGAATAGGCTTGAGTTCACCTATAACCTTGAGTTCACCTATAACCGAGCCCAGCTTCCTCCTTCTAAAGCAGAGTCACCCAGTTGAGTCCATCCTAAATCAGCCAAGCTGCCATCAACCTACAGAAGCAGGAGCATGAGAAAAAATATTGTTCATGTGGCAGTGAATTTTAGGACAGTCTCACAGCATATTGTCCAAATAATGCATTTTTTATATTAAGGTTGCATTCAGTTACAGGGTTTCCAAATGTTCTTGTCAAGGGTTCCAGGCGAAACTTAATGGTTCTGTTTCCAGAAAACTCAAAGACAAATCTTTGCTGCGACTAAAGAATTTTCTTATATTATTTGAGACTATTAGTTTGTTCTTCTCTTTTTTTATTGTTGATACTATTACAGATGCCCACCACTCCCCCACCTGTTTCTCCCCTCCAACAACCCCCTATCCCCAACCCCACTAGGACTTTCTAACATTATTATCTGTGTCCATGGGCTATGAATATATGACTATCTGTTCTTTAGTTAATCTCTTCTCACTCCCCTCCTCTCTTAGATCTGTTAATCTGTTCCATGTATCCATGCCTCTGGTCCTATTTTGTTCATCAGTTTATTTTGTTCATCAGATTGGACATATAAATGAGATCATGTGAAATTTGTCTTTCTCTACCTGGCTTATTTCGCTTAGCATAATAATCTCCAGGTACATCCATGCTCTCTCAAAGGGTGAGAGGTCCTTCTTTTTTACAGCTGCCTAATATTCCATTGTGTAAATGTACCATCTCTTTGTTATCCACTCATCTACTAATGAGCACTTGGGCTGTTTCCAGATCTTAGCTATTGTAAATAATGTTGCTATGAACATAGGGGTGCATATATTCTTTCTGATTTGTGTTCTCTGGGTTTCTTAGGATATATTCCTAGGAGTGGGGTGACTGGGTCAAATGGCAGTTCAATTTTTAATTTTTGGAGGAAACCCCATACTGTTTTCCACAGTGGCTACAACCATTCTGCATTTCCAGTGAACTAGTGTTCCTTTTTCTCCATTTCCTCACCAGCACTTGTTTGTTATTTATTGATGGTAGCCATTGGTCCTGGTGTATGAACTTTTTAATGTATTTTTGGATCCAATTTGCTAAGTATTTTGTTGAGGATTTTAGCATCTATGTCAGTGATGGCGAACCTATGATACACATGTCAGAGGTGACACACTAACTCATTTTTTTGGTCGATATTTCTTTGTTAAATGGCTTTAAATATAGAAAATAAATATCAAAAATATGTCTTTGTTTTACTATGGTTGAAAATATCAAAAAATTTCTATATGTGACACGGCACCAGAGTTAAGTGAGGGTTTTTCAAAATGCTGACACGCCGAGCTCAAAGGTTCGCCATCACTGATCTATGTACATCAGCAATATTGCCTATGATTCTCTTTCTGTGTAGTGTCTTTTTCTGGTTCTGGAATTAGGAAAATTCTGGCCTCATAAAATGAGCTTGGAAGTCTTGACTGTAGTGAGTGTCCTGTGGGACCTAGTGGTGTCATCTCTTTGATCTCCTGAGCTGGGTGCTGTAGGAATGTCCCTTATGTGGGTTATGTAGGCCCTCCTGGTATAGTGGAGTTTTGGTTGCTGTTGTCCCGATCATGGGTGGGCTCAGCTCTTGAGTTGACTGACAGTGTGGCTCAACCCTGGCCACATTGTGCAAACTGTTGTACAGGTACTGACAGGACAAAACTAGACAAAACAGGACCACACCAAAAACAAAAGGAAATATAAAAACCACCACAACCAACAAAAACAGAAACAACAACAATGCATAAGGAGAAAAAAGAGACACACAAAAATTAATAAAAGATGCCAAAAGGATTAGAGAAGAAAAAACAAATGGAAAGAAAGAATATCCAAGAAAAGATAGAAAAGAAAAATAATAAAAATTTAAAATAATTTTAAAGAGTAATAATAGTAAATAATAAAAATAGAATATAAAAAAAAACAGGAATAAAGAATAAAAAAAGGAAAAACAGAATAAGAAAAGAGAATTATGAAAGGAAAAAGAGAAAATAAAAATGGAAATAGAAAACATAAAAATAAAAAGTGGAGTGTCCCCTCTGTGAGCTGCTCTCCTCTTTCCCCACAAAACTGCACTCAGCGGGAGTATCCAGGACCTGGCTGGGGTGATTTAAAGAGACTCCCATTGGGGGTGATGCCCCTAATTTGTAGGAGTGGGGTGGACACACTTCCTCTTCTTCCCAGGGCTGCAGGGGCTGAGCTCACCGGAGAGATCAGATCTGCTTCCCCGTGATGCAGCCCCAGGGCCCAGCTCGTGCCTAACCCTGGCCCCAAAGGAAGTGGGTGGGGATCCACAGCAAAAATGAACCCTGCTTGGCACTCTAATCTTTCCTTGTGGCTGGCCTCAGCTGGGAGGGCCTCTGACCAGGCTCCTACCAGGCCAAACATCCGCTCTTCTGTTCCCCCTCCCCCACACCATCAAACTGAACAGAAGGAGTGCGAATTTCCAGCCCAGCACCATTCCTCTTTGCTGCGGATCCCAGCAGGATGGGGCAAACCCAGCACTTTAGTTGTTGGGTGGAAGGTGGGCTGGAGGTGTGCAAGATCGATCCTCTTTCCCAAGCCACACGTTCTAAGCCTCTGTCCCGTGCTTTACCCAAGGCCCTGTCAGAGACTAGAGGGCCCCTCAAAGTCACGGCTGGGTGTACCCAGCAGACCCCTCCACCAGCCCCAAGTACTGGCGCGTGGCCCTTCCTGCAGTCCCAGACCAGAGCCAACTTCCTAGGCTGGTGTTGTAACAAAAAAATCGCTCTTTGCCTGGGATGATGCGGTGGGAGTCTCCCAGACGGACCAAATCCCCACTGATTCCCACCACCCCATGCTACTTGGGCTCCCCTTTTCTGCTCTGTTACTCTGGATAGGGGGTCCTTGGCTAGAGCTGAGACCCTACGTTCTGTGATAGAATGAGCAGAAAAGTACAGTAAAACAGTTGTTATGACTCCATTTCATATGTTCTAAAAAAATGATGGAAAGCATGAGAGGTATAAACAGACATAATCTGAACTGCTGGAAGTTAAAACTAAAATATGTAAAATGAGAAATGTAGTGGGTAAGATTAACAGTATATTAGATGTTGCAGAAGAAACGATTAGTAAACTTGAAGACATAGCAATGAAAACTATCCAAATAAGACACACAGAGAAAGGGAAGGGCAGAGCATCTTTGGGCTGTGAGATAACTTTAAGTCAATGAATACACGTGTAATAATTCGATTTCTTCAAGATGAAAAGAAAAACAAAGTTTGAAGAAAGAATCACCCCAAATTTTATCAATTTGATGAAAACATTTTAAAGAAGTTACTGAGTATGTTGTCAACATGGATTAGAATGGGTAAGGCACAAGAATTGAAGGGAAATTAATGTAAAGACTAGTACATTATTTCAGGTTACAGATGGTGGTAACAATATGGTAGCAGAAGATATGGATTGTGTGTATGGATAGAAGAGATGTTAAGAATACAGAATAGATTTTAAAGATGGATTGAATATTGGAGTGTGAAGAGTGTGGTGTCTGAAAATTGTAAATTATGACACTGGACACAGGTTTGTTTCTGGTCCATGGGAGTCAACGAGATTAGAAGCATTGGAGAGAACTAACTTTGGAGGGAGTTTGGGATCTGACATGTTGAAACTGAAGCATTCTTGTGGAGATGTGAAATAAGATATATAAGGTCTAGAGGTGTGAGATAGATTTACAATTTTTAAAAGTCATGTATGTATATTTGTAATAAATGTATTTGCCTGAGGAGATATAATAGAATGTGAAAAGAGACAGGCCAGGCTTGAGTCTTGAGAAACTCCATCATTTAATTAATAAGTGGAGGAGGATGAATCTGCAACAACAACAACAAAAATGTTAATGATCTTTTTTTTTTGCAGCCAGAGAGTTTTTTTTTTTCCTGGAAGCCCTGCAACAACTCTAAACTTTGAATATATTGTAGAACAGATCTATGGCCAATGGTGACAGAGTCTACATAGAACTATGCTTCGTGGTGTTCTGGGGAAAACCTTTCGACTTGTTGGCTATACTATTCAGTATGGCTGTATAGCACATTGTGCTTTTGAATATGTTGGTGGTGTTGTCATGTGTTCTGGACCATCAATGGAGCCTACGATTCAAAATGCAGATATTGTCTTTGCAGAAAATCTTAGTCGACATTTTTATGGTATCCAAAGAGGTGACATTGTGATTGCAAAAAGTCCAAGTGATCCAAAATCAAATATTTGTAAAAGAGTAATTGGTTTGGAAGGAGATAAAATGCTCACCAGTAGTTCAAGTTTCTTTAAAAGCCATAGTTATGTGCCAATGGGCCATGTTTGGTTAGAAGGTGATAATTTACAGAATTCTACAGATTCCAGGTCCTATGGACCTATTCCATATGGACTAATAAGAGGACGGATCTTCTTTAAGATTTGGCCTCTGAGTGATTTTGGATTTCTATGTGATAGCCCTAATGGCCACAGATTTTCTGATGATTAGCCAACATTTATTCTTTTGATTTGATTATTGCCTCCTGTTTAAGTAAAGTTATTATTGCCACTGAAACCATGTACTTACTAATAAACTATTTGCTATTCAAAAAAAAATGTATTTGCCTGAGGAGATATAATAGAATGTGAAAAGAGACAGGCCAGGCTTGAGTCTTGAGAAACTCCATCATTTAATTAATAAGTGGAGGAGGATGAATCTGCAACAACAACAACAAAAATGTTAATGATAGAAAGGAAGAGCAGCCAGAGAGTTAGATAGAAAACCAGTACATAATAATATACATGGAAGCCAGCAGGACAAACTGTTTCAAGAAGGAATGTGTGGGTAGCAATGTCAACTTCTACCAAGAACTGAAAAATGTCCATTGGGTATGGCATATAGCAGTGTTAATCCAAGTGAGAGGGGCAGAGGCCGAATGAAAGTAAATTGAACATTAGCAAAAGCTGTTAAACAGAATAGGGAACCTATCATTCTTTAAAACATTTTAAATGTTTAGCTCTAAAAGTAAGGAGAAAGATGGAAAGTGGGGTGTTAGCTGGAAAGGGGTCTAAATATCAGAGGTTGAAAAATTGCTTTAAAACTTTATTTACCATTTAAATTTTAAAAAATAATGTTTAATTTTTAGGTCACTTAAATATTTTTAATTTATACTCAACATACAATATTATACTAATTTCAGCTGTGCCGCATGGTCAATAGATTTTTTTTAAAATATATTTTATTTTTTACAGAGAGGAAGAGAGAGGGATAGAGAGTTAGAAACATCAATGAGAGAGTAACATCGATCAGCTGCCTCCTGCACATTTCCCACTGGGGATGTGCCCGCAACCCAGGTACATGCCCTTGACCGGAATCGAAACTGGGACCTTTGAGTCCGCAGGCTGACGCTCTATCCACTGAGCCCAACCGGTTTCGGCTGATGAATAGGTTTTTATATACTTTACAAAGCAATCACCCTGCTAAGCCTAGTATCATCTGGCATCATCCATATTTATTATAATATCATGGACTCTATTCCCTCTGTAATTCTTTATATATCTGTGACTATTTTTATAACTGACAATTGCACTTCTTAATCCCTTTCACCTTTTTTGTCCATCCATTCAACCTGCCTCCCATCTGGCAACCATTAGTTTATTCTCTGTATCTGTGAGATTGTTTCTGTTTTGCATATTTATTTTGTTTTTGGATATCACACGGAAGTGACATTGTACAGTATTTTTCTTTTTCTATATTATTTATTTCAATTAGCATAAAACCCTTTAGGTCCACCATGTTATTGCAATTGGCAAGGTTTCATTTTATTAATAGCTGAATAATATTTCATTGTTTATATTTACCCAGTCACCTATCAATGGATGCCTATATTGCTTCTATATCTTGGCTTCAAAATATTTTTTAGCATATTTAAATGCCATTGGGAATGATCCAATGTTAGGTAGCATTTGGATATGCAGAAAAGAGAACTCTTTGGTAATGTAATATTTTTGAAATATTGGAGAAGAGTAGAATCCAAGACTCAGGTGAAAAGATTAACTTTAAATAGGAGTAGAGACAGGGGGGAAGAAGCAGAAGATAGGTTTAAATGGAGGTTCATATTATTGATAGGAGGAAATTCAAATATATCTCTGATGGTGAATCAATGTTAACCAATAAATTCAATTTTAAAAAAAGAATAAGGTAAGAAGGCAGGAATGAGGGCAATATGCTTGAAAAAATATGGAGTATAAAGAAGGTTCAAAGTTATTACTGAGAAAGTGAATTAAGAAGAAAAAAACTGTAAAGTTGCTTTGCAAGGTGGAATAGACATTTGATATTGGTTACTGAATTTATCTACCAGTGCAACCTGCAATTGAAGAATAAGAAGGTGCAGGGGAAGGAGAAAAATAGAGTTGATCAGATTTGGAGTTTTCTAAACACTTATAATCCTATCCTATATAATACAAGCCTAATATGCTAAGTGTCCAGTCGTTTAGTCAGCTGTTCAACCAATCAAAGCGTAATATGCTAACGATATGCTAAGGCCTCTCAACTGCTTGCTATGACGTGCACTGACCACCAGGGGACAGACAGTTGATTGGTTGACCAGTTGCTATGACATGCACTGACCACCAGGGGGCAGGCGCTTCAACCAGTAGGTTAGCTTGCTGCTGGGGTCCAGCCGATTGGGACTCAGCAACAGGGCCGGACATGCTCTGGAGCCCGCCTGCAGTCCCTCCCTGGCTGGCCAGCCTCACACATCCCTCCCCAGCCCCAATCATGCACCAGAGGGGTCCCTCGGCCTGGCCTGTGCCCTCTTGCAATCCCGGACCCCTCCAGTAATGTCAAAGAGCCGGTTTTGGCCAGACGATGGAACGATCAGTCGCTATGATGCACACTGACCACCAGGGGACAGATGCTCAATGCAGGAGCTGCCCCTTGGTGGTCAGTGCACTCCAACAGGGGGAGCACCACTCAGCCAGAAGCCAGGCTGATGGCTGACGAGTGCAACAGCAGTGGCAGGAGCCTCTCCCGCCTCCACGGCAGCACTAAGATGTCCAACTGCCACCAGTTGGATATTCCCCGAGAACTCCTGGACTGCGAGAGGGTTCGGGCTGGGCTGAGAGACCCCCCAAGTGCACAAATTCACCAGTCAGATATTCCCCAAGAACTCCTGGACTGCGAGAGGGCACAGGCTGGGCTGAGAGACCCCCCAAGTGCACAAATTTTGTGCACTAGGCCTCTAGTATAATATAAAAGCGTAATATGTAAATCAACCAAACAACTGAACAGCGGAACAACCATCCGGACAACCTTCCAGATGACCACACTATAACATGCACTGGTGCCAGGCCAGCCAAGGCAGGTACAATGCAATTGGTTGGGGGGCCCTGCCATTGCCCCGTGATCGCCCCGCAGAGGGAGGCCCAGGCCACTCCTCCCCTATGCACGAATTTCATGCACTGGGTCTCTAATCCTATATAACAAAAGCCTAATATGCTAAGTGTCTGGTCATCCAGTTGGCTGTTCAACCATATCAAAGCATGCTAATGATATTCTAAGTCCACTCAACTGCTTGCTATGACTTACACTGACCACCAGGGAGCAGTCTGACCAGTAGGTTAGCTTGCTGCTGGGGTCCGGCTGATCAGGACTGAGCGAGATGGGCTGGACACACCCCGGAGCCCTCCCACGGTCCCTTCCTACCTGGCCAACCTCCCGCATCCCTCCCCAGCCCCGAATGTGCACCAGTGGGGTCCTTTGGTCTGGCCTGCACCCTCTTGCAATCCGGGCCCCTTGGGGGGTATCGGAGAGCCATTTTCAGCCTGATCCCACAGGCCAGGCCCAGGGACCCACTGGTGCACAAATTCATGCACCAGGCCTCTATAAGGAAATATAGAGGAGGAGACTCATGTTATTGGTAGAAGTGCTACTGAATTTGTGGATTATAGTGACTAATTAAGGAACTGAAGAAAGAGTGAAGTGGAGGGGCTACACAAGGTCCTAATTTGGTCAAACAAAAGTCAAGAGTGGTAGAAGTTTATTTTCTTTAAAGAATTTTTTATTGTTTTCCTTTATATTGAATATATTGGGGTGGTGATGGAAGGAGAATTGACTTGGGGTGGTGAACATATAATACAGTGTACAGGTAATGTGTTGTAGAATTGTACACCTTTAACAAAATTGTATAATTTTGTTAAAGATTAAGTAGAAGTTCCTAATAGAGTCAAACAAAGGTCAAGAGTAAGTAGTTGAATAAGTAAGTTGAAAATAAAGGCGATAATAAACAGAGAGCAGGATGCTGAATTAGTGATTTTGGAAGTTGTGCAATATTATGACATAACAAGGCCTAGACCAGTGATGGCGAACCTTTTGAGCTCGGCGTGTCAGCATTTTGAAAAACCCTAACTTAACTCTGGTGCCGTGTCACATATAGAAATTTTTTGATATTTGCAGCCATAGTAAAACAAAGATATTTTTGATACTTATTTTATATATTTAAATGCCATTTAACCAAGAAAAGTCAACCAAAAGAATGAGTTTGTGTGTCACCTCTGACATGTGTGTCATAGGTTCCCCATCACTGGCCTAGAGTGTTACCAAGGAAGTGGTTTGTTTAAAATACCTACTTGAAACTATGCTAAATTTTAACCTTGCTCTTAAAGTCAATATATAGACAATTATCATTTTATCAGTTTATATTATTTTAAATAATAACATATTTTATTGATTTTTTTTTAAAGAGAGGAAGGGAGAGGGATAGAGAGTTAGAAACATTGATCAGCTGCCTCCTACACACCTCCTACTGGGGCTGTGCCTGCAACCAAGGTATATGCTCTTGACTGGAATCAAACTTGGGACCTTTCAGTCTTCAGGCCGACGCTCTATCCACTGGGCCAAACCAGTTAGGGCAGTTTATATTATTCTAAAAAAATAAATTCACTAGGGATAAATGTTCATGTGCAGTCTCTGAATCCATTCTCATAGACTCTATTTACATATTTTAAACTAGCAACTGTACAATTTTATATTTAGATTGCATACTTCCTTTCAATGGCATTCAAATTTCTTTTAACCACCTACCAGTTCTACAACCTTGGCTGATCACCAGAATCACCTGTGGAGCTTTTTAAATTTATGAATTCCCAGGCTGCTCACAGTCAACCAGTAGATTAAGTAGTTCCCAGGTGGAGGATGGGAATATATACAGGCTTCCCAAGTAATTCTGACTATTCACCAGGGATGACAACATTGAACCATTGGCCTGAGAGATGGGGAAGAATTCTGCCTCTGATTTCTCAACGCCTCAATACAAACTTGGAACTAGTCATCTAAAAGGAAGCAGTGGGAATAGTGGGAATGCTTGAAAGAGGGGCCACAAACTATAAACAAATGAAGTCAAAATGTACATTTCATGGAGCCAAATTTATGGATTTTAAATAATTTTTAAAATATTAAGATGTTCCATTATTTTATCTTCTGATTGTCTTTTTTTTTAAAAAAAGGAGCAAGGGCTATATCACAATTTCTCTATCATAAGAGTACAATAAAATTATAATAACTTTATTGTAACACCATATAATAACTATGATAGATTGACTTTACTATAAAATAG